CTTAGTTCCCTCTTGAATCAATGTAATATTTCTTCTTAAAAAATTTCACCCCCTTTCCTTATTTTATTCCCATGAATATTGTTGTTCTAGTACGCTTATGGGTCTCACATCGCTTAGGAGTCGAAACCAATAATAGTTTATATACACTTTTTTCTCTTAACTTACCAAGATGTCTTTCAAGGACAAAATTATGATGAACGAGAGTTCCAAAATGTGTTAGGAAAATTAATCATTAAATATGATCTTCAATCTAACGATCAAATCTAAAGTAATCACTATTGATCTTATGGTTTTCCACTTGAAGAACACCTGTATTTCCCTCTTGATTTTCTCTCTTGATGGAGATAGAAAGAAAAGAACGAGATTGTAACTACGTTCTGTCTACGTGCTCCCAGAAGGGGACCATGACCCCTTAAAATAACCAAAATTAGGTTAATTACTTAAGTTTTAGTATTTCCAATTTGACCCCTCATCAAATCAGAAATTGCTCTATGGTCTCTACACAATTTTATTTTCATGACATATGCCTTTAACCAAACCTTTTTAATTTAGTCAGATCACTTTATTATTTGGCTTAATAAATAATGACCTTAACACATTTAAATATGTATCATATATATACATGACCCAAATTTTGCCAACAATCTCCCACTGGTCACAAATATATATGCCCTTATAACCTTACAAATGTGTTAGACTTTATGAGCTCAAAATTTCCATTATATTCCTTTAGCATATTCCAAAAGTCTTGTCCATTAATCATATCAGGATATAGAACCAAAACAGCTTTTCATTGCATCATCGCAATTAAAACCAACAATGATTACTTATCCTAACATAATCAAATGACATAGATTCATCATGAAATGTGTAGCATGAAAATTACGTGAAGGTGATCTGTACACGTTTATTTTCAACTGGTCCAAACTTTAACTTATCGAGATCGATATAATAACCTTAATGTACAAAGTGTAATGAATGAACAAAAATCGCATATCTATAGATAACCAAATATGTCCAAAAAATCAATGTATACATATATAAAATTAAACATAGAACATAAAATATATGAAAATGACTAACTCCCACTAAACCACAAACTCCTCAAACTGTAAAACACCCATGTGAGCAACATGCTCATGAAAGACCTTGGGCGGAAGTCCTTTAGTTAGAGGATCTGCTATCATGGAGTTTGTCCCTAAATGTTCTATGGAAATCTGTCCACTCTGTACTCTTTCCTTAACAACTAGGAACTTAATGTCGATGTGTTTTGACTTAGTCGAACTTCTGTTGTTGTTGGAATACAATACAGCTGATTTGTTGTCACAATATAACTTAAGTGGTCTTTCAATGCCTTTCACAATTTGTAGCCCTGTGACAAAATTTCTCAGCCATATTCCATGATTCAACGCCTCATAGCATGCTACAAATTCTGCTGTCATAGTGGATGAAACTGTAAGGGTTTGCTTGACATTGCGCCAAGAAACCGCACCACCTGCTAACATGAAAATGTAACCTGAAGTGGATTTTAAACTATCTTGACATCTTGCAAAGTCCGAGTCAGAAAACCCAACGATCTCCAACTGGTCTGACCTCCTGTATGTGAGCATGTAATCTTTTGTTCTCTTTAAATATCTCATGACCCTTTTTGCTGCTTTCCAATGGTCCATTCCTGGATTGCTTAAATATCTGCCTAGAACCCCAACTATGTATGTTATGTCTGGACGCGTACATACTTGGGCATACATCAAACTCCCTACAGCTGATGCATAGGGAATCTTTTGCATTTCCTCAATTTCCAAATTTCCCTTTGGGCACTGATTGAGACTAAACTTGTCTCCCTTAGCAACTGAAGTATCCCCGAATTTACATTCATGCATGCCAAACCTTTTAAGAATTATTTTGATATAGCTCCTTTGTGATAATCCCAAAATACCCCGACATCGATCTCGGTGTATTTGAATTCCTAATACAAAAGACACATCACCAAGATCTTTCATTTCGAAATTCTTTGATAAAAATTTATTGGTTTCGTGCAATATGCCCATATCATTAGTGGCAAGTAGAATGTCATCAACATAAAAGATCAGGAAAATATACTTACTCCCCTTAAACTTGTGATATACACAATCATCAACAATATTCATCTCGAAGCCAAATGAGATAATTACTTGATGAAATTTATAGTACCATTGACGAGATGCTTGTTTTAGTCCATAAATGGATTTTGTCAGTTTGCAAACCATACTCTTTGAATCTCCCTGCACAAAATTTTCTAGTTGCACCATATAAATCGTCTCATCAATGTTGCCATTAAGAAACGCCGTCTTGACATCCATTTGATGAAGCTCCAAATCATAATGTGCTACAAGAGCCATGATTGTCCTAAAAGAGTCTTTCGATGAAACTGGAGAGAAAGTCTCTTTAAAATCAATCCCTTCCTTTTGGGTATAGCCCTTAGCTACCAGACGAGCCTTATACCTTTCCACATTACCTTTAGAATCCCGTTTGGTCTTAAATATCCACTTGCAACCAATGGGTCTCATACCTTCTGGTAATGGGACAAGTTCCCAAACCTTGTTGTCTTGCATGGACTTATACTCCTCCTTCATTGCTTCAATCCACTTTTCAGAGTTAGAACCTTGCATGGCTTGACGGAAGTTAACTGGGTCATCTTCCATCATACCATTGTTTTCCTCATGTTCCTGAAGAAATACCATGTAATCATCCGAAATAGCACTTCTTCTTTCTCTAGTGGATCTCCGCAAAGTTATTGGCTCATGATGCACAGGTTCTTGAGGATCTTGAGTTTGTTCTTCATGAACAACCAAATCATCTTGAGTAAGGGGTTCATTAACAATGCCTTGTGGAGGTTCCGAACTTACTTTATCAAAAGTAACTGTATGAATCGGTTCTGGAATTGTTACCGATTCTTCCTCCAAGACAAAGTTCCTGATTTGATTCTTCCCCCCAAACTCAATATCCTTAAAGAACGTAGCAGTTCCCGTCTCAAAAATTGTCTTTAATGTGGGATCATAAAATTTATATCCCCTGGATCTTTCAACATAACCAATAAAATAACTACTTACTGTTCGTGAGTCCAATTTCTTTGCATTTGGCTTATAAGGTCTTGCCTCAGCTTGACAACCCCACACATGGAAATGCTTCAAACTAGGTTGTCGCCCAGTCTAAAGCTCATAAGGTGTTTTGGTCGCTACTTTAGTTGGTACTCTGTTTAGAATATAAGTTGCTGTCTTTAGTGCCTCTCCCCAGAGTGACTCTGGTAAGGTGGAATGACAAATCATACTCCTGACCATATCTTTAAGAGTTCGATTTCGTCTTTCAGCTACACCATTCATGCTAGGTGATCCCGGCATGGTATACTGTGGAAAAATTCCACACTCCTCTAGGTACCTGGCAAAAGGTCCTGGACGCTGTTCACCTGACCCGTCAAATCTGTCATAGTACTCACCACCACGATCAGATCTGACAGACTTAATTCTTTTATTGAGTTGATTTTCAACTTCAGCTTTAAATGTTTTGAACACGTCTAGTGATTGTGACTTTTCATGTATAAGGAATAAGTATGCATATCGTGAGTAATCGTCTATGAATGATATAAAGTATTGTTGACCATTCCACGAAGGTGTAGGAAATGACCCACAAATGTCCGTATGTATCAACTCTAAGACGTCTGTAGCTCTATATGCACCTAATCTCTTCGCTTTGGTCTGTTTGCCCTTAATGCATTCAACACAAACATCAAAGTTTGTGAAGTCAATGGACTCTAAGATTCCATTTAACACAAGTCGTTCAACTCTATTTTTAGAGATGTGACCTAAGCGTCTGTGCCATAATGCTCCTGAGTGAGTATCATCAATTTTACGTTTAGTACCCCGTGATTCTGTATTAAGGGTTTCATTATAGGTGGTCACATTATCAAGTAAATACAGATTATCATAAGGCAAAAGTGAACCAGTTCCAATAATATCTAAATTAAAAGACAAACTGAACTTATTGTTTCCAAATGAACACAAATAACCTAATTTGTCCAGATAAGAAACTGAAACCAAATTCCGTCTAAATGACGTCACAACAAAAGTGTCTTTCAAATCCAAATAAAAACCAGTACTCAATAATAATTTAAAATGTCCTATAGCTTCCACCTCTACCGATTTGCCATCTCCAACATATATCCATCTTTCAGAATCAATTGACTTCCGGTAGCTTAAGCAACCCTTCATAGAAACACTGATGTTAGTAGTTGCACCTGAGTCTAACCACCAAGTGTTACTAGGTACTGACGCTAAATTGACTTCAGAATAGACCAAAATAGGAAACATACTTTTGAGGATCGGAACATAATTTAAATTGGCAGATACAGAAACAATTGTAGCTAAATTAAAAATAAGAGAAATAAATTAATTATGCTCACATTATAAAAATAAATAATTATAAATAAAATATATATTCAAATAATGGTTTAACCCATCTCAAGACACCCAATGCACCATCAATATCAAGTCTTTGGACAGTAATATTAACTGCTAGAGATATCTTGTTGTAATAATCAAACAATGACAATAAAGCACATCCAACAACAAACCAGTCTTTGGATTGATTTATCATCGACAAAGCAAATCTTTATAATTATCACATGTTTATCATTACAAGTGTATATGCAATTCGACCAAATATTAATCTTCCTTTGGGCCGACTAATACTGCCATGAATATACACAAACACTAACATTTAATATTTTTCACGAACTACCCAATTCAAGAGATGTTACTTTGGTAACTTCTTGACTCAATTTGCTCACAAAAAAATATTAAACTACCAAACAAATTAATATTTTATTTATGTAATAAAATCAAATATATATACTCCTCTAGGTTAGCAAAGAACTCCTTGCAATTCCTGTAATGTTGTTGTTTAAGGCAGCGGGTCCCACGACATTAACACCCTCAGAGTCACCTTCTCCGTCATCGTCTTCGTCTTCAACGAAGAAATGGTGCGTGCCGAAGAGGGATTCGAGTGATGCAGCGTTGCAGGTCAACATTGACTTTGTTTGTAGCAGAAGTGGAATAGAGTGTGGGCCCATAAATGATGGTGGGCCATGCTTCAAGCCCAACATAGTTAAGTCCCATGCGACGTATGCCATGAACGCATACTATCAAGCATCTGGTGGTCACGATTTCGACTGCGATTTCGGCCACACCGGACTCATCACTTACACCGACCCAAGTGAGTACTCTGATTCCACGAGCAACATTCCTTTCTTATCTTATTTCTTTTCATTTTAACAATTTTCCAGCTTAATTATTCCCAGAATAGAGAAACGAATCAGTCACGCACCATTCACTATTTTATAAGCATCAGCACCAATGAAACCCATGGGTTTGGGTATGGGCATCAACACCTCACGATTCACTGCGAAGATAGGGCAGTGGCGGCCAATAGGTCGTGCCACACGGTTCGCGAGGAGTGGTATTGACCCATGCGGCTCATGGGAACAATGTCGCCGGGTCTGTAAGAGACAGCGATCGAAAGAATCGAAGGCAGCAGAAGGAAAAACGATAGTGGTAGAAGCGGTTTCACGGTAGCTGCAGCCATGGCTACCAACTTTAACAAAATTTCAGCGACTCATGTTTCACACTCTGATTCACGCTGTCATATTAGCATTACGCTCTCCTCACTACCGTTCCCAAACGCAGCCGCTTACGATTGCTAAACGCGGTTCGCTCGCCGCTACTGCCAGCATGGCGATTCGTGACGACGCGGGCCAACGGGTCTCGCACGATTTGGGAATTTACCCCAAATTCGAAACTAGGTTTTAAAATGGGGGATTTTACCCCAAATTTGAATGTAGGGTTCATAAAATTTGAAGATTATTCTCCAACTAGGGTTATTAATTAGCCAGAATCTGAATTTTGTTAAATGTAATTTCCAAAGACAAACATGAATTAAGTATGGGTTGCTATGATACCACTTGTTAGGAAAATTAATCATTAAATATGATCTTCAATCTAATGATCAAATCTAAAGTAATCCACTACAAGAAATTTTAATATTACCGACGGTCAAGATCCATCGGTAATAACAAAAATCCATCAAAAATTTGATGGTCGGTAAATATTACCGAACGGATTTAATAGTCCGTCGGTAATATTTTTATTATAAAGCCCCTTCCCTTTATATTATTTATTATTAATTATTTTTCGCTATTATATTTTTAAAGCCTTTAATTATTATTAGATTAAGAGAATTGTTATTGACGGATTCGAACCAAGTATTTTAGAGTTAGAGGTCGATACTCCAACCACTAAGCTACTAGAATTTTTTAATAATAATTTACAAATAAATTATATTTATATACAAATATATTTATATATTTATATATTTATATATTTATATATTTATATATTTATATATTTATATATTTATATATTTATATATTTATATATTTATATATTTATATATTTATATATAATTAAATATTTTTATATATTTTTATATATTTATATATAATTAAATATTTATTTTTTAAAATTATTTAATTTAAGAAATTATTATAAATTAATCTAATTATGATTAAATTAAATTATTAAATAAAAAATATTTAATTTTTTAATTAGGTGAATATTTACTAATTGTTAATTTATTGACTGAAATATCCGTCGATAATTTACAGATGAATTTACCGACGGATATATCCGTCGGTAAAATCAAATTCTACAAATATTTTATATCCGTCGGTAATTTTCGTCAGTAATAATTATTTTCCGACGGTTATAAATCCCTCGGTAAATATCCGTCGGTAATACACGATTTTCTTATAGTGATCCCATACTCATAAACATGTTGTAAACTAAATGCGAAAGCGTACCTGAATTAGCCATAATGATGATGTCCCTTTTAGAACACTATTGATCTTATGGTCTTCCACCTGAAGAGCACCTGTATTTCCCTCTTGATTTTCTCTCTTGATGGGGATAGAAAGAAAAGAACGGGACTGTAACTACGTTCTGTCTACGTGCTCCCAGAAGGGGACCATGACCCCTTAAAATAACCAAAATTAGGTTAATTACTTAAGTTTTAGTATTTCCAATTTGACCCCTCATCAAATCAGAAATTGCTCTATGGTCTCTACACAATTTTATTTTCATGACATATGCCTTTAGCCAAACCTTTTTAATTTAGTCAGATCACTTTATTATTTGGCTTAATAAATAATGACCTTAACACATTTAAATATGTATCATATATATACATGACCCAAATTTTGTCAACAAAACGGACAAGATATCGGACATAAGAATTGACCCTAACAATGTTATCACAATCATAACGGATATGAGTTCGGGACATTCTCTTTCCTAGATAGATGGAACAACTGCAGTTTTAGCAATCACAACGGACATGAGGTCGTGACACTTTCGTTCCTAGATGGATGTTTCTCGATGGATGTCACTCATCACGTTCTGTTTGCCACCCATCATCGTGGTATATGAGGTACTATATATATCATTTTTGTATCTCTATTTAAGCTTATGACGATTAACAATGTGTTAATTGTTTATTAAGTTGCAATTTTAGAATTAGGAATTAAGGATTTACTTTAGAATTAGGGATTTAATTTAGAATTAGGAAGTTAATATATAATTAGGGATTATGGATTTAATTTACAATTTTTATAAATGTCATTATGTATAAAATAAGATATTATGAATGTCATTACGTAATTATGGATTGAAGCCGGATAAAATCTAGTAGAATAAGTGAGAAATACGAGAATGACATTGAAAAATTTATAAAATTTTCAGAATGGTCAGAATTTGCAGATAATAATGAAATTTTTTTTTGTCCATGTTTTAATTATTTGAATGGGAGACAACTACAAGTTGAATTGATACGCGAGCATTTTCTCTATGATGGTTTCTTACGAAATCATACAACTTAGACTTAACACGGTGAATTATTAAACATTCCATGTATGTTCAAACATCAATGTTGATGATCAATTATAGGATATGATTCGTCAGGTTGGACAATAATCTTTTCAACAAGCTTATGTGTATGAAATCTTGAAAATTGATTCAAAGATGCCTTTATATCTAGGTTGTACACATTTCATACATTTATCAATAATATTATAATTGTTAAATATTAAGGCTAGAAATGGATACAATGATAAAATTTTCTATTGAATTACTCAAATTGTTGAATGAAATGTTACCATAAGAGATTATAATGCCCATCCCTCGTCACTATGAAGCCAAGAAAATCTTGTGTCCAGGGTTTGAAGTATAAAAAAATACATTCTTATCCTAATGATTGTATATTATACATAAAAGAGTTTAAAGCATTACCTAATTGTTCAAGGGGTGAAGTTTCATGCTACAAAGTGAAAAATGATGATTATCACTAACTTTGATAATAATTTTTATGAAATTTTTTTTTATAAGGTATAAATTTGTAAATGACATTGCCACTAAATTTGATAATAATTTTTATTTATAAGACAATGTTACTTGAGCAGAGTTCTCAAGTTACTTTTACTTCTCATGGACATCTAAATATTTTAGCCATTGCTATTGACACTTCAAAACACCCTGATCATGTGCCTATTGCATGTATTTGGTGTAGGTGTCCGACAGTATTTTAGAGTACCTCCTTGCACTATAAGTTATGATGGACCTATAAGTCATGAGGTAATGGAGCAACTAGCAAAGATCCTAACCTAGAGATTGACACCACAAATAGAGATACAATTAATAAGCACACTTGTAGAGGAATAGAGGTGTGAGTTTAAAGAACGAAAGAAGTTCATGGGTATCTCACAATAGAATAAAGTATCTCAAGAGAATGTACCTCTTACTCATACTCGTGTTAATATGCAAAAGGTTATCGGTGTAAATTGTTTGTGGATGGAGATCTTCCTCACCCTGTGGCTATTGGAAGGGTGTATGGAAGGTCTACATTACACTTATTGGATGTAGGTTATAAAAGAGTAGTGGTTGAAGATATCAAAGATACTACTACTATAATCCATATGCCCATATATGAGGTTCAAATAATGGGACAAACGTTGCATACATTCATTCCATGACCTATACACAGTGATAAACCTTGATTATTGATTTTAAAGAGGCCAAATGATATTAATAAATGATAAATAAATATAAAAAGGGTGAAAGAAGATGAGAGGATGAAAAAATAAAATTATAAATATATTAAATGATCATTAAGTTTGGGGAGACTAAAATCATAAATTATATGAATTACAAAGTTGAGGTGAGGTTGAGAGGATAAAATTGTAAATATATAATTCAACGCATTTCTCAAAGTTTATATTAAACTCCATATGTTATATCATGGGATGCAATACTTTTTAGAGTAGAAAATAATAATATACCTTTGTACATAACAGGACACATTTAAAATAATATAGGGTAATCAAATGTTGAACATTGCAATCATACGTATATAGATCATGTATGTATATTCTAACTCTAAATTTCATTTCAATATTGTTTAATATAAAATGATACATTATCTTATGTTTGTGTTAACAATATACGTATTTCAATTAATTAATTGTGAATATAGAGAATGCTAATTTTTATGACTTTTTTGAGCCTATATCTAATTGTGCATTCAAGGCACTCGAAATATCATTCATATGGCTCCATATATTAATGTGTAAGTACAAATATATTTGTTACACATTTAATATATTAATATATTATTACTAATCAATTTCTTATTTAAGTCTCATTAATAGTTAATGATATTAATTCGATGAAAAATAATGTTGTATGATTTTGTTTACTATGTAAAAAGTCAACCACATACTTCAAAACTTTAGTACAAATGTATCATTTTAATTATCTCTTGTATTTTATCAAAGTATTATAAATTATTAATTACTAATATTTCATTTTATATAGTGTTATTGATGTATGTAATGTCTTAGATGATTGATCCACTTCATCCTCGCATAATCTATGATGAATTTATCCTAAGGTATATAATTCTATATTAAAATTATTCACAACATATTTTATAGTTTGTAAATAATTAAATTTTAACAATTGAGATATTAGTGTAATAAGCAACAAGGAAACTATAAGTGTGAACATTACGTCATGCATTCGATGAAGATCATTGTTTGTGTGCCTATAATGGATTCATGGGACCAAGTAATAATTTCTTTAAATATTTGATTGTATTATGTGATTTCAAATATAACACCTATAATATATTTGTTATAGATTTTTACGAGACAAGGAGTCACTTGATTCTCTCAACATTAAAGAATTTAGACAAGAGTCAACAATTTTTTTTAAGCATTAGAAATAGTGATGGATTAGTATAATTATGAATTAATGTCATTTTCATGGGGTAATTATA